TTAGCCCTCCTCCCACCGTTCTCTTTCCTGGCCAGAGCAGCCAAGGCCTCCCCAGGAACCCCTGATTCCTTCTGGAACTCTCTCACACTGCCTAATGGTGTTACAACAGAGTGAGTCCAGAACTGTCCCTGCTGCCCAGTATTCCCAAATCCAGGGCTATACAAGGCGATCCCAGTCGTGCTGGGAGCATCCCCCAACAGCACCTTCCTAAGGCCCTTCTGGACAGAGCCCTGCCCAGCCTCTACTCACTCTTCAGCCACATCATCATCCTCTTCTCCAGGGTTGAAGGACTCGTCTGGAGGAGAGAGCAAGGGATCAGCACATCAGATAATCATGAGGGAAAGGAGCCAGAGCACAACACTCATCTGAGGTGGGTTGCCATGCCAACAGCGCCCCACAACTCCACTTGGGGGTCCGTTGTGCCCACCGCGAACCCGCGCCTTCGGCCCCGGGGAGCACAAGGGACCCGGGGGGCTCCTGCTTCCCCGCAGCACCATCCCAGTGGTGCCAGTAAAGGCAGTGGAAAGAGGGGGAACAGGCAGGCATGGGATCCCCCCGGGGCTGGTTCCAGACCGGGAACTGCCCGCAATCAAACACCGGAGGGGAAAACGGACTTAATCAGATCAACCCACTCATGAGGGAGATGGAAAAACCCCCAAATGGCATCAGGATCGAGCGAGGGGCTGTAATTAGGAGCCCTGATGGCTGAGCAGGGGCTGGGGGCCGCTAATGGAGGGTGGGGAGAGTGAGGTCAGCCCTGGAAGCGGTTCAAGGAGGGGAACAAGCTCCCGGATGGCTGCAGGAAGGAAGGAGGGATGGGGGGAGCCGGCCCCGCACCCACACAGACGCCCTCGGCGGGGTTTTTTTATTCAATCCAAGTTGCCATGTGAACAGACCCAAAATACAAAAAAAAAAAAACACCACCAAAAAAATTAACAAGTGAAGGAAAGAAAAGGAAAGAAACCCAAGTGTTTAAAAAAAAATAAATTGATGGGGAACAGGGGTGAAGGGGCACTGAGGAGCCTCCAGCACCTCCTGCCACCACGAGGTCTCGCACCCCCAGCCAGGCACAGGGGGCTGGGGGGAAGGAGGGCCCCCCAGCCCTGCTCCCGGTGGGAGCCATCCTGAGCCCAGGAGCCTGGTCTCTGCTGCGGGGCCGGCCCGCCCAGTCCTCTCGCCGACCTGGGAACCAGCCTGGAGCCAGCCGGGATGGGGCTAATCCGAGCCGGATGCCGAGTCCTCCGAGCTGGGGGGTGGGCTGGCAGCCCCCTCCTCCTCCGAGTCCTGCAGGCAGGGCACAAGGAGATCAGCGGGGGACAGTGAAGGAAGGGCAGCAGTCCCCACTCTTCCATCTCTCCTGTGCCCCCACACTGGGGACAGGGTGATGGTGGTGACTCGAGGACACCCCTCAAGGGATGTGACTGTGTACTACAGACACAAGGTAGGAGAGGGGCCCAGCCCCTGCGGAGACCACAAGGTTGTTCCCCCGAAAAGAAGGGCTGGGACCCCGCAGCCAGGACCCTCTACCTCCTTCTTGCTCTCTGCAGAGGAGCTCTCGTCACTGGACACAAACTCCTTGCTCTTGAAGCTGTCGCTCATGCTCTTGGCCGGGGACTTGGAGGACGAGGACTTGGAGGTGGCACCTTTCTTGTCCCCTTTCCCCTTCATCTGCTTCTCCTGCTTCTTCTTCTTCTTCTTTGACCTCTCCCTGTGCCGTGTGGGGAGAGGAGCAGTGTCACCTGGCTGGCAGCCCCCCAGCTCTGGCAAGGCACTGGTGAATAGACCGATTTTGGGGGGCTAAGCCCTGCCAGCCCCTTGCCCAGCACACTCACCCCCTGTGGCTGTCGGCCTTGCTGCCCACACTGTACTCCTTCATGGCCTTCTCATAGTCCCGCCTGGCATCTTCTGCCTTCCGATCCCACTCCTGTGACCAGAGAGCAGGGGCAGCAGGGCCTTCCCTCCTCTTCCACCATCTCCAGCACCCACCCACACCCCACCCTGCTCCCACCTCATCCCTCTCCACCTCTGTTCACCCAGCCCGAGGATGTCCCTTCCCCTTCCCAATTCCTCCCAGGAGCAAGGAAGGGTCCCCCACATTCAGCCTCTCCTCCCCAGACCAGGCCCAGATCTGCTGCCCCAGGGGAGCAGCCCAGTCCTCGCATCCCTCACCTCCTTCTTCTCCTTGGACATGGCCTTCCAGAGCTCCCCGGCCTTCTTGAACAGGTCGGTGATGCTGATGCCAGGGTGGTCCGACTTGATCTTCTCCCGGTTGGCGTTCAGCCAGAGCATGTACGCCGACATCGGGCGCTTGGGAGCGTTGGGGTCCTTCCCCTTCTTGCTCTGGGAGATCGAGAACACTCATGGAGCCCCAGGGCACCCCTCGCCCAGCACCCTGGCACCCCGCTCCCCTCTGCACCCCCCCAGCAGTGCAGCAGCCCCTCACCTCCTGCTGCTTCTTGCGGGGCTTGCGGTCCTTGACGATCTTGGCCTTCTTGGCGGGTTTCTTGTCGTCGCGGTCGCTGTCGCCGTCGCCGCTGGAGGAACTGGCCGAGGCGTTGCTGTCGAACCTGCGCGGGGGGCAGCGGCCTCAGCGCCCGGCCGGCAGCCAGACCTGCCCCC